GAGATCGCCAGTCACCCACCATTTTAGCCAACCAGCTCCTTTCTTTCCCCCCATAAGTCAATCAAAGGAGTCTCCAAAACAAATTCAAAAGCTCCCCCCCCCAAGATCTCCTTTCCTTTTCCCCCACCATGTGCCCCCGCTCCAGACAGACCTTTTCGCCGGCAAGGGTGAGTGGGCCGTCGATGACGTATCCATCCGATTCCGATGCAAGCACTCAGCACAGGTATGTTCCACTTCTGAGCCCCTCTGAGCCAAAGGCAGAAAGCCCAGCCAGCAGCCAAACAAAGCCTCAAGGAAAACCACCATCACGTCTCCGCTGGGAAGCGCTGAGCAAAGGCGAGTCCCCAGGCAACACAGCTGATTTGATCAGCACAAGGCATGCAAGCTCCACTCCCCAGTCGTTCTTAGACTTCTTATTGGGTGAGCAACACAGCCAAGCAACACAGTTGGAGCCTCCCTCCTCCCTGGCCGGCAGGGAGGGAGGGAGAGGAGCTGCTTCCTTTGAAATTTAAGGGACATCATTTAAGGGACATCCATCAATAAGGGACAGCAGCGGGACATGGTGCTGGAATAAGGGACGCTTGACAGCTATGGTTTCACCTCTAGTATACTGTACTAAAATTTGAAGGAATTCTGTTTTTTAAATTTTTAAAAAATCTAGGGGGGAGATGCATCCATATTGTAGCATTCTTTGGTGTCTTCTCTGTTCCAAAAGTAGAAACTGACAAACTGATGCCTTTTCCCATTTTTATTTTCAATTAATTAAAACAAAAAAAACACTTCACTTGCTGAAAATGTACAACCCCTGTTGGTCCCACAATCTGCTACATTCCCACACCTAGGCAGGGACTGGGGAGCATCTGAAATCTTTGAGGGGTATATCCTGCAGAAATCAAATGTTGATGATTAGACATACCATTTTGCATACCTGCCTTTATGGTCTCAAGGGGTTGGATGGTGATTGGCAATGCACTCCACTGGCTTTTGTTGAATGCTATATTGCAGTGATGGTGAACCTTTCAGAGACCGAGGCCCAAGCTGCAACCCAAAACCCACTTATTTATTGCAAAGGGCCAACAAGGCAATTTAACCTGAATTGGTGCAGAATCTGCAGTAGCTGTCACTACTCTGACTCCTATTTAGCCCTTAAGAAAGAAGTACCTGGTTACCATATTGCATTGTATCTGGGGAATTTGTGTGAAGTCAAGGCAAGCTTTTGCATTGAAAGAAAAGATGTATATAGATCTTTTTGCCAACAATTACCCATTCTCAGCACTGTTGTTTGCCTTCATGAAGGTAAGTGTAGTTAATGTGTTTTGACATCACCACCACGAGACTGGGTTTGTCTTCTCTATGAGATACTCATCTTCTCTGTTAGGATAAAAAACTTGTTTCTGCAGCAGATGGAGCTATTAGAGAAAATAAATTCCAACAGTGTTTTCCCCGCTCCCTCGCCCAGCCCTGACCGGCTCGTATGCAGGGTGTCCGGCATGGCCCCAGCTGTGCCATTCACTTGCTGTGCTTGGCTGTGGTTGAGCCACAAGAAGTATGCCAGCAAGTGGGAGGTGATCATGGTGTGGCGAGACCGGTGGACCCCGGTGCCGGGTGAGGGGCGACAAGGACGGGGCAGAGGCGGCACTGCCTGGCTACCCAGCACTGGAACAAAGTGGCTTCTTGAAGCTCGCCAGCATTGCCATCCTCCCCTGCTGGCTTCTGCATGACACGTCCTGCCTGGTGCCTCTCATTGGCCCTGGCAGGAGGGTGTGTAAAGCCTCAACCTTGCAGCAGCAGCAGGACGAAGGAAGCTGCTCAGATGCCCAAGTTGAGCCCAAGTTGAGCTGAGGACTTGATGTGCCACCCTCGCCTTCTGCCAGCTCCATCTTGGGGCGATGGTGCATGTACCCACAGAGAGGGCTCTGGCACGTATGTCATAGGTTCACGCCACCACTGCTATATTGTCATAAGGAATGCTAATTTCTGTCTCTTCTCTCACACTGTAAAACCAGATCCCTAAATTATTATTTTAAACCATTCCAGTCTGTGGGATTTTAGAACAGCCAGATCAGTTAAGTGTTGCTAAATTAGCTTCATTGCCCTTTTATTTCTACCAGGTAACATGTCAAAATGAATGATGAATATCTAAAGCCTCTGATGTAAGACTAGCTAAGACATTATCCAAACGAAATGTTTAAATAATAGAGGAAATTATAAATATGCTCAGCTTGCACGAACACTTTCAAATGGATGCTGCCATCTGTATTCTTCAAATTACAAGGACAGGCCTCAGGGATGGTTTTCATCTGATTTTGAAAGAGAGAAAACAGACCTGCCATTTACCTCTATGAATAGAGCAAATTGAGATGCCCTCAAAATTCATGGATAATACATACAGTAGTAGAATTCTAAAACTGAGTCTCAAGGTCTGGGAGGAGAAGCAATTTGTCCCTCTTCCATTAGCATCAGGTTTCCCCCGATTGCATTGTTTTCACTTTGTTCCATACAACTCGGTAGAGCGTACATTGATACTCTTGTATAACAAAAAAGAAGAGCTATAGTCTGGAAAACAGTTCTATCCCAGGCCTACCACCGAGTTGCTCAGTCAGTGACTCGGTTGCTTGGCTGATGTCAAGGAGCTGTCAATGAACCAGGTCAACCACAGGGCAGGCACACACACAGAAGGCACAAAATGCCATTTGCTTTATTAACAGAAAATAACAACACAGCAGAGGCCTCTGGTTTGTCTTAATCCTGCTAAGACATTGTTGAAACTGACTACTAGCTCTGCCCTTCCCCCTCTAGCCTCTCACTCTGGATCCCTCCGAAGCAGACAAAGGCTACATCTAGGGCGTGAGCATCACCTCAGCAATGTGCAGGACTCCTCTCGAGTGGGGTGTCAGAGGGGTGGGGGGAGAGCCAGCAGGACTGTGTCTGGCCTACTGCTGGGTAGCAAGGGCAACCTCTGTCTGAGTCTGCTCTCACACTGTGACTCTCAGCCTCTAAGCCTGTCTTGGAAGACCCTTTATCTCCTGACCCACCTTGATCACTCAAACCCCCTGCTTCTAGAACCTCCCAGCTCATCCCTTCTGCAGACTGCTCTTCCGTGTCCCACCACGAGGATCCGGGATCTAAGTCATCATCTTCTGTGCCCTTCCTGGGGGGCTCTTGGGCGGGTGGTTCCCAACACTCTTCCTCATCCAGTCAGTCTCTGACAGCTGAGTACTTTAGGAAGACACTCCATTACCCATTCTTCAACCCAAGTTACATTGTTCTTCCATGTATGTTGACAAACATGCTAGGTTCTGAGCCAGCTTTTCTGTGCCAGCAGCCTCTCATTGGGTAGAATGGAGCCAGAGTCACAGTGAGAAGTACAACCCCCCGCCCCCAGTTATCCATTATCATTCTGGAAAGATGTATCCCCTGAACATGGAGAATTAGTTTGCAGATGTGTACAGAGACACATGTCCAGAGAAAGCAAAGCTGCAGGGGACCATCCATGGCTCAGTGCTTACCGGCCCTATTGTGCTTCTAAGCATGTCCATGTTACTTGTCTCCTAAAAGCTTGAGGGACTGGAGTCCATTTCTAACCTTGCCAGGCTTTGCAACAGCTGGAAACAGGTCCACATCAGCAAGGCAACTGTGTTCCTTGCCATCAGATGTGACTGATTCTGCCGTCTTTGGATGCTTCCACACTGACACAATTTTCAGATAGGATTCAATCACAGACCAACAAATCTTGGTTGTTCAATTAAAATTTGGAGCCTATCCTCATAGGACTTTTTGTGATAAGGAAAGTGACATGAAAATGCACTGAAAAGTATGGGGCAACATAGGGTTGTTCCAATGTTGTCAGGATGAGTGCTCAATAAAAAGCCCACATGGTTTAACCTCCCCCACAAATGCTCAGTGGCTGTGTCGGACTTCACTGCCATAAGCACAGTACAATAGGAAATACATTTAACTACTTTAAAACATGTCATTTCTAGCTGAAAACTTGTCAGTTCATTTGGCCATAATGAAACAATAGTCAACATTTAAGGAGGCAGTATTTCCCTGCTGGCTTTAGGTTTTGCACAAATTATGATGTCTGATTCTCATTACACATTCTTAATTTAATTTTTACGAGGAAAAAAGATCCACATGCACTAGTTCTCAAGAGTGCAATAGTAACAAGAAATCATTTTGATAATTTTAAAGTGATGGAGTGCCCTATTATAAACTCTGTATTAATTTCATATTAAAAATTAATTTGCTTTCTGCTTAATTTGAAATGTAAAGTAAATAAACAGATGGGAAGGGGATTTTTTTTTTTAGTAGCAAATGGCTTTTCAGATTTTCTGCTAGTGAGCTTATCCTAAGGTGAATAAACTCTGGTGCACTTAAAATGTGGAGTTGCAGGCATATATTATTTATATATATATTCAATATCTTCTCTATTTTTCTTCTGCCCAATTTTCCAGCCTAAAAGCCCTCATGTCAAGGCATCTTTTAAGAGACCTATATATGGGGATGCTAATGTCAAATTTTGGTTTCTCATCTTTAAGAAAATCTTAAATTCATTTCTCAACAGTTCCACATTGGTTTGTAATTATACTTTATTTCAGTCCTCATGAAAATTCATCAGAAATCTGGTGTGGATTTCTCTGAATAATTTTTTTTGCAAAAGAACTTTCCTCATATAATGCATTTTATATGCTTTTTTCACCCACCAATATATGCATTTATATGCACACTTTAGTATATGCACTTTTGTACACAAAATGACTGGAGAACTGCATTGCAACATCTGGAGATGTGTGAATTTTGAAGGATATCTGTGTTGAAGTTTGCATATTGCTTTGTAAAGCGCAAGTTAGGTAAGATCACTTTTAAATGGGAACTGAACTGAAATTGTCCCCCGTCCCACTATATCTATATTTAGAGAGACAGACAGACAGACATTTTCTTCTGGATCAGGATCTGTGATTTTTGTTCAAAAGGTGGAAAGAAAATCTTTTTTTTTTCTAGGTTGGGGGTAAGTAAAGGTAGATATATATATATTTATATAAATCTAGATCAATCTTTCCAAATCTGATATCCTCCCGATATCTTGTCCTAGTGTGTCCATCAGCACAAGCTAGCATGGCCAATGAACAGGTATGCTGGATATTGTTGCATCCCTCAAGAGCACCAGGTTTTGGAAGGTTGATCTAGATCAAAAGGCTTGGACATTAAGCAGAATGTGAACTGAGAAGCAAGAATATTTTATTTTAATTGTTTAGAAAATTATAGAAACAATTTCTTCTAAAATTAAACTTACCCAAATATCTGAAAGCAGGACTGGAACATTTTAACAAGGGCCAATATTTTATGTCCAGTTATGTTTGAATACAAGAACCTATGAAGAACTTATACCATGCCAGACCATTGGTCTGCAGTCGACTCTATACTGACTGACAAATGACTCTCCAGGATTTCAGACATGGGTTTCTTCCATCCCAACCTGAAAATGCCAGGGACAGAATCTGCACACAAAGCAATTGATCTACCATGGAGCTACATGCCTTCTTCACCCTTGCATAGTCATTTGGTTCAGGGTATATTCGCACAGCTATGTGCTAAAGTATTCATATCGGGGATTTGTCGCCATTTATTCTAGATGGGAGCCATTTTCATGATCCCCATGTGAAAATGGCTGCAGTTGCTATGTCAGAGCAACTGTTGGTTTTGAAAGGCTTTCTCTGACATAATATCTTTAAACAATTTCAGGTAAACTGCTCTCCCCACCTGAAAATGAAGAGACAAAATCATTGTGGTCCAGTTCACATGCTGATCCTCTCAGCAGGTTGATGAAGTGTTAATCTGCATGGGCTGCCATCATTCCTGCAACTGGAATACAGTGGTACCTCGGGTTACATACGCTTCAGGTTACAGACTCCGCTAACCCAGAAATAGTACCTTGGGTAAAGAACTTTGCTTCAGGATGAGAACAGAAATCGTGCTCCGGCGGCGCAGCAGCAGCAAGAGGCCCTATTAGCTAAAGTGGTGCTTCAGGTTAAGAACAGTTTCAGGTAAAGTACAGACCTCCGGAACGAATTAAGTACTTAACCGGAGGTACCACTGTATGGCTCATGATGATAGTGTTTTGCAGAATGCCTCTGAATACCAACTGCCGGTCAACACAAGTAGGAAGAGTTCTGTGACAGACAGCCAGTATCCTGTTGCTTATTCCTGAGGAGAGTCAAAATGCCTGCATCTAACTGACTTGCCCTCTAGTTCACAGACTAGATAAGGTTGCTCTAGTGTAGAACTTTTGGTATCTCTAACAAGAAATCAACCCCTTTAATTTTGTACTGTTGGATGCAGAGAGAAAAACCAACCCCTGTATATGCAGTTTATTGACCTGACTAAGGATTTTGACACTTTAAATCGTAATGCCCTGTGGACTATCCTTCTGAAAATTGGCTGCCCAGATAAATTTGTGAACATCATTTGACTCCTTCATGATAATATGACAGCAACAATTGCAGATAACAATGGCTCTCAAAGTGAACCATTCACAGTGGGATCAGGTGTCAAACAGGGTTGTGTTATTGCCCCAACTCTATTCATTATTTTCATTGCCATGATCCTACACTTTGTCGAATGGAAACTCCCCACCAGAGTAGAAATCATATATCAAACAGATGGAAAGCTCTTTAATCTGAGCAGGCTGAAAGCAAAGAGTAAGGTTACCGTAACTTCCGTTATAGAGCTGCAGTATGCTGATGACAACGTAGTGTGTGCACTTTCAGAGGATGGCCTCCAAACCACCCTAAATATCTTTGCAGAAGTTTATGAAAAGCTTGACCCATCATTCAACATCCAAAAAACCAAGGTGCTGTGCCAACAAGTACAAAATAACCCCTCTGCAGTGCCACAAATCCAACTCAATGGTGTAACGTTGGAAAATGTCGGTCACTTCTCCTACCTGGGCAGTTATCTTTCCACAAGGGCCGACATTGAAATTCAGCATCACCTTAGCTCTGTGAGTGTGGCTTTCTACCGATTGAGGTGCAGAGTGTTTGAGGACTGGGACATTTGCAGGGAAACCAAGATGCTTGTTTACAAAGCTATTGTACTACCAACCTTACTGTGTGCTTGTGAAACATGGACAACTTATAAACGTCATCTACAACTTCTAAAAAGATTCCATCAACGGCGTCTCCGCTGTACTGGAAGAAGCAAAGATCACCAGTGTTCTTCAACATCGGCTTCGTTGGACTGGTCATGTTGTGCAGATGCCCGATTATCATCTTCCAAAGCAACTACTCTATTTCAAACTTAAAAATGGAAAGTGCTGTGCTGGTAGTCAACAAAAGAGGTTTAAAGACTCTCTCAAGGCAAATATAAAAAAAATGTAGTATAAACACAAACAATTGGGAAACACTTGCCTGCGAGTGCTCCAACTGGAGAACAGCCTTTACCAAAGGTGTCATGGGCTTTGAAGACACTCGAACTCAGGATGCAAGGGAGAAATGTGCTAAGAGGAAGGCACACTTGGCAAATTCACACAGTGATCAATTCCCATCAGGAAACCAATGTCCCCTCTGTGGAAGGATGTGTGGATCCAGAATTCACCTCCACAGTCACTTACGGACTCATTGTTAAAACCATGTTTATGGAAGGTAATCTTACTTGGCTACGAGTGATCGCCAAAGAAGAAGACACTCCTTCTTCACCCTTGAAATGTGCATAGTCATTTGGTTCAGGGTTTTTCCACACAGCTATCTGCTAAAGTATTCATATGGGGGATTTGTCACCATGTATTCTAGATGGGGGCCATTTTCATCATCCCATGTGAAAATGGCTGAAGTTGCTATGTCGGAGCAACTGCTGGTTTTAAAAGGGTTTCCTGGCATATCTTTAGACAATTGCAGGCAAACTGCTCTCCATATGAAAATGAAGAGACAAAATCACTGTGGTCCAGTTCACATGCTGATCCTCTCAGCAGGTTGATGAAGTGCTAATCTGCATGGGCTGTCATCATTCCTGCAATTGTAATATGGCTCGTGATCATTGTGTTTTGCAGAATGCCTCTGAATACCAAGTGCTGGTCCACACAGGTAGGAAAAGTTCTGTGCCAGCCAGCTAGGATCCTGTTGCTTATTCCTGAATCTAACTGACTTGCCCTCTAATTCACAGACTAGATAAGGTTGCTCTAGTGTAGAACTTTTGGTATCTCTAACAAGGCTTCACCCACTCTAATTTTGCACTGTTGGATGTATTGTCTGATAGGCATCATTATGTTGCATCATTTTCAGCAGGAGGATATTGTGGAAAATGTAGTTTTCATGAACCCTAACCTTCTAATATCACCCATGGATTCTTCTATCCAGGATGCACCTCTGGCAGAATCTCAGGTCTAAATTAGACAGCACTGTGAATGAGGGGAAGGCTAACACCCAGCTGAGACCATGATGAGCTGGAATTGTATCTTGGAACTTGTAATTGGCTCAGATATCCAAATGCCATAGCCACAACATACAAACAACACATTTGTGAATATTCACAATGGCTCTGTACTATTATTTTTATACCATAAATGATGTTTCTGTACCATTTCTGCCCAGAGTGGCTGAAGCAACCCAGTCAGATGGGCAGGGTACAAATGATTTGTTGTTGTTGTTGTTTCCCTTGCTGATGATCCTTTCTCTTTCCTGGATTAAGACATATAGGCCAATCTGGCCATCCCAAGATCATACTTTAAATGCAAGAATGTCCCAATAATGAATGAGATTTGTGTTAGAATCATAGAATCATAGAGTTGGAAGAGACCACAAGGGCCATCGAGTCCAACCCCCTGCCAAGCAGAAAACACCATCAGAGCACTCCTGACATATGGTTGTCAAGCCTCTGCTTAAAGACCTCCAAAGAAGGAGACTCCACCACACTCCTTGGCAGCAAATTCCACTGTCAAACAGCTCTTACTGTCAGGAAGTTCTTCCTAATGTTTAGGTGGAATCTTCTTTCTTGTAGTTTGGATCCATTGCTCCATGTCCGCTTCTCTGGAGCAGCAGAAAACAACCTTTCTCCCTCCTCTATGTGACATCCTTTTATATATTTGAACATGGCTATCATATCACCCCTTAACCTCCTCTTCTCCAGGCTAAACATGCCCAGCTCCCTTAGCCGTTCCTCATAAGACATCGTTTCCAGGCCTTTGACCATTTTGGTTGCCCTCCTCTGGACACGTTCCAGTTTGTCAGTGTCCTTCTTGAACTGTGGTGCCCAGAACTGGACACAGTACTCCAGGTGAGGTCTGACCAGAGCAGAATACAGTGGCACTATTACATCCCTTGATCTAGATGCTATACTCCTATTGATGCAGCCCAGAATTGCATTGGCTTTTTTAGCTGCCGCGTCACATTGTTGGCTCATGTCAAGTTTGTGGTCAACCAAGACTCCTAGATCCTTTTCACATGTACTGCTCTCAAGCCAGGTGTCACCCATCTTGTATTTGTGCCTCTCATTTATTTTGCCCAAGTGCAATACTTTACATTTCTCCCTGTTGAAATTCATCTTGTTTGTTTTGGCCCAGTTCTCTAATCTGTCAAGGTCGTTTTGAAGTGTGATCCTGTCCTCTGGGGTGTTAGCCATCCCTCCCAGTTTGGTGTCATCTGCAAATTTGATCAGGATGCCCTTGAGTCCATCATCCAAGTCGTTGATAAAGATGTTGAATAAGACCGGGCCCAAGACAGAACCCTGTGGCACCCCACTAGTCACTCTTCTCCAGGATGAAGAGGAACCATTGATGAGCACCCTTTGGGTTCGGGCAGTCAGCCACTTACAAATCCACTGAGTGGTAGCATAGTCAAGACCGCATTTTACCAGCTTCTTTACAAGAATATCATGGGGCACCTTGTCAAATGCCTTGCTGAAATCAAGGTAGGCTACATCCACTGAGTTCCCTTCATCTACCAGGCTTGTAATTCTGTCAAAAAACGAGATCAGGTTAGTCTGACATGACTTATTTTTCAGAAATCCATGCTGACTATTGGTGATCACAATAGTGTTAATGGAGCTGAGTGCAGTGAAGGCAGTGCAAAGAAATAAATGAATGGTTTTACAAGGATTCCCAAACCATCATTTGAGGAGGAGTCATTTTTTTGACACTACTGAAAATGTTGACAAAGTTAAATCATGAGTGGTTTCAGCTCATCTTGAACAACAATGTATTTCAGAGCAGTAATATTACTAAAAAGAGTCAGGGACGTGATGCTTCAGTTCTGTGGAATTTCTTTGTGCCTCTCAACAGCATGCTTTGGTGTCCCAAGAGTCTTGCATCATTGTCTTTATTTTCATTCGTGTCCATGAATCACGCTTATTAAAGACACATTGAAGAAGGTATCATTTTCTCCTTCCCCTCTTCTATTTTGAAGACTGTCCTTGTACAATAGAAAATTGCCCCATTGTTCAATGATTGAGCTATGCTTTAAGTACACTAATTTCATCTATCTGTAGATGATTAAAAACAAAAAGCCCCCCAACAGGAGGACATAATTTCTTGAGAAATGGCATAGTATGATCTACAGTTAGCAATAATAATAATAATAATATTTGGATGTTGGACAGTTTGGAGACTTTGATATAAATAAAGGAGTTATTTGTTAACTGTAAACTTTTAGATTCCCCAAAAACAGAAACAAGGAATAAGTTCGTTCAAATAAAGTAAAAAGTGGGTCATCGTCCCCTTTGTCATGGGTATATATAAGAGGTAGAACCCAATTCAAGATATATGAGAAATTACTCAAGGAGTCTACGGCAATGAAATTCAAAAATTGGAAATATGGCAGAGATCTCTTTACAGAATTGTTGCTTGCTAAAAATATAATTATATTGCTGACCTTTAGGATCATTTACAAATATATGAACTCCATGTTCTATTCCTTACTTTACAAAGACCTTAATAATCTCAGAGGTTTTTGCTCACATGAACCTTCCTGGTTATCAAGGACTTCTCAAGAGGCTTTGCTTTTATGTCTTGCTGTTGACAGGTCATGGAACTCACTTCCTGGAGGGCCCCAATTTACATTATCCTCTGGGTAGCGATGCAGGTGGCACTGTGGTCTAAACCACTGAGCCTCTTGGGCTTGCTGATCAGAAGGTTGGCGGTTTGAATCCCTGTGATGGAGGTGAGCTCCCGTTCTTCTGTCCCAGCTTCTGCCAACCTAGCAGTTCAAAAGCACACCAGTGCAAGTAGATAAATAGGTACTGTTGTGGCAGGAAGGTAAACAGCATTTCCGTGCACTCTGGTTTCTGTGACTGTGTTCTGTTGCGCCAGAAGCGGTTTAGTCATGACCCAGAAAGCTGTCTGTAGATAAATGCCAGCTCCCTCGGCCTGAAAGCGAGGTGAGCGCCGCAACCCCATAGATGTCTTTGACTGGACTTAACTGTCCAGGGGTCCTTTACCTTTTTTTTTTTACCTTTTATCCTCTGGATGTAGGATCTGCTGCACTGTACACACCATGAAGACACTATCAGAAGCCCTGGAGCACATGGGATAAGACTGTGTTGCAGCTCTTGCCTGAGACAATGTTGCACTCTCATAACTTGCATTGTTAGGGGGAAGACAAATGTAAGATGCTAATGTTGACTCTAAATAGTTGCTCAGAAAGAACTAAAAAAAGCAGGGTGTTAGCACTACATGGACAATTATCTAAACAACAACAACAACTTTATTTATACCCTGCCCATCTGGGCAGCTTACAGCACATAAAAGATTGTAAAACATTAGACCTTAAAAGTTTCCCGATACAGGGTTGCCTTCAGATGTCTTTTAAAACCAGATAGTTGTTTATTTCATTGACATCTGATAGGAGGATGTTCCACAGGGCGGGCACCACTACTGAGGAGCCCCTCTGCCTGGTTCCCTGTAGCTTCACTTCTCACAGTGAGGGAACTGCCAGAAGGCCCTCGGAGCTGGACCTCAGTATCTGGGGTTGAATGATGGGGATGCGGGGGTGGAGAGATGTTCCTTCAGGTATACAGGGCTGAAGCCCTTTAGGACTTTAAAGGTCAGCACCAACCAATTGTGCTTGGAAAGGTATGGGGATTATTTGATTTGTACCCCTGAAAAATTCAGAATTAGGCTAAGAAACACTACATTCTTAAATTCCCCAGATACTCTCAGATAGAGTCTGTGCTGCAAAAACACACATCTGCAAATTAATTCCTGCACTAAGGGTTTTTAAATGTTAATATTAACATTAAAGTCAGCACTGAAATTTCATCCAGATTTAAATTCAAAGTGAGTGTCTGGGTTCCTCCTCCCATGAAACACCTGAGGAATTCTGAGGGAAGCCAGAAGGGTTTTGATAGCAAAATTTCTCAGGGGGTTCCATACAACCTTACAAAGGCACCGAATTCTACCCAAGCACCTTTGGATATTCTTCCTTTATACTAAGCAACTGAGGAATATTGTGGAAAGACAAAAGAGCTCTGATATAGCCAGTACATTACATCCTTCCCTCTTGGCTGAAAATTCTGGCAGATTGCAGCTTGCATGCTCTCTACACTCCTTGATATCTGTATTAGTAATTTAAATTGATCACAGGAAAGGCAGATGTTGTAGGAAGCTACGGATGGGAGATTTATATGTGGGATTTGGTGTTTCCAACCTAGTGGACCTTTGCCCACATCAGATGTTATGAATGAACCAGGCAAGATGAGCATAGCTTAGTGCCAACTCCCCCTCCCTTTGGAATGCCAGTTGAGAAGAGAATGAGGGTGAATAGAGAAGGAAGCAGTTCATCAGGTGGGAAAGAGCGAAGAGACAGTCCCTCAGAGAATGAGGAAGAGGCGGGAGCTGACCCTTTCAGTCCCAGGTCTTGGCGAATGGGAGGGTTACAGGATAGGAGGCAGGGCAAAACACATCAGAGGAAAAAGGTCAGCTGCTTCTGGTCTTGCAGGACGTAGTTCTGGTCTTGCAGAAAGCAGTTGATGAGACTAGTGGCATGTTAGAGCCGTCTGGATAACTCTGTTTTTGAAATAAATCTTCCTTTTTAATTAACCATGCTTGCTGTGTTATCAAGTCAGAGACTGGGACTCCTGATATCAGACCACCACTTGTTCCATTGCTTCATGCACACCTGTAGTGTCTGCAGGGAGGACATGACAATGGGGGGGGGTGTCTTCCGTATCATGAAAACCACTGCTTATGTAATTAAAACAAAGACTTAATCCCGTGTCTCTTTCAGAAGTCATTTTAATATCATTGATTTGGCAGGTCTCAAGCCCATGGATAGGGAATCTGGTTTGATCCTTGAAGAAAACATGTGAAATTATGGTCCAGAAAAGGAAATACAGGTAAGACATGATGGGAAAATGCCGCTCCAAACTTAAGGAGGGAATCTTTGCCACACCCTGGGCTCACCTAAAAAAGAAGACTCAGAAATATTGCCCAGGGGAGGAGTGGACAATGACAGACAGGTCCTAATGGGCCAATCCTGAGTGAGAGATAGTTGCATTTTATTAGGTAGCTCCTCCCCAGGAGTGCCTCACTTTTCTCTAATTTTTGCACCCAGCCTCCATATTCCAACCAAACTGAGCTTTGTCCACATCAGACCACCTCCTATTTCATGCATGCCTATAATGACTGTGTGGAGGACATGACAAACTGGGATGGGGGCAGTTCACCTAACTTAGTCTACTTCCTACCAACAGCACCCCTCCAAAGAAGAAGAAGAAGAAGAAGAAGAAGAAGAAGAAGAAGAAGAAGAGTTTAGATTTGATATCCTGCTTTATCACTACCCGAAAGAGTCTCAAAGCGGCTAACATTCTCCTTTCCCTTCCTCCCCCACAACAAACACTCTGTGAGGTGAGTGGGCCTAAGAGACTTCAGAGAAGTGTGACTAGCCCAAGGTCACCCAGCAGCTGCATGTGGAGGAGCAGGGAAGTGAACCCGGTTCACCAGATTACGAGTCCACTGCTCTTAACCACTACACCACACTGGCTCTCTAAAGTCCTAGCTACAATGCTACCCATCTATTGTGGCCTGTCAAATGCTTAACAAACCCACATTCTAGGTGGGCAGCAAAATCCAGTAAGTTTATGGAGCCTCTGTTGGACCACCATCTCCAGCTAGCAGAATGCATTGTGTTCTGTCTCAGGTTGTGCAGTCCTTTTGTCCTTGGAATGTTGTATTTACAATTTGCTTTCGATTACATTTCCCCTTCCTATAGTCCCTGACTCTGTTTTACATAATGCACACCTGCGGTTGGTATCCTGTCGTATTGTATATGCATTTGGGACCATGGAGAAATAGGTAAATGAACAAAGGGGCATTGCTTTGTTTCCAATAGGTATATATTTCAGTGGCACACTGTTTAAACAGCATAGGCTCACAAGCCCTCCTAAGGGAGCCTTTTGAGAAGTCTCTGCACTTATCCGTTCTTTTGAGGAAACCAGAGAATTGGTGAGTCATAATGATACATGGAGCTCATCTCTGTTGGAAAACATCTTTCATTTGTCTACTGCTGAAAAATGTGCTCCATCCAAGTTTACTTTGATATCTGTTAGACATAAGGAGAGCTTCACCTTCTTATGAGCCACATTAAATGATTACAGAAGTATATCTTAGCTCTATTTTTATGTCCCCTGATGCCAGGACATCATGTCTGTTGTTTTCCCCAAAGCTCTCTCTCTCTCTCTCTCTCTCTCTCTCTCTCTGTGTGTGTGTGTGTGTGTATCTCAAAGTAATTCTCAAAAAGAAACCTTTTGGAAGATTGAGGAAAAGGCGAATTAAACACCTCCACTGATATTGAGGAACACCATCATGGAGCATTTAAGTACATGT